TTTTTTTAAATATTGGCATTTCAAATTGGCGGCGTAAATGAGATTAGATGGAAAACTGGGAAACTTAGCACTTCATTCGTTTTTATTGGAATATGTGTGCATGTGCCTGTATGTGGATAAAAATAAATATTTTTGCCGCCGCACTCTCTACCTCGTTTTCTTCGCAGACTGTGTCGGATCATTTAGCAAATATCGATTTGAATTCTTTTCGAAACAATTGAATTTAACATTTGTTTGCATTTTATATTGGAATTTTCGATTTTTGAACACGAGTTTTAACTTTTTACCGATGAATCTTAAGTTTCGCACGTTTATGAATTGAATGAGTTTTTTTTTTCGTTTTATTTTTTTGTAGCTCTGGAAATGGTTGGAATTAGTATTTTTTTGGTGAAAGGAATGTACACGTGAAAGATATACACGTGAATCGTACGATGATAATATTCAAAAATAAGATCGATTAGAGTGGATGATTTCATACTTGCAAGAAAATTATTGTTTACTTTTTATAATCAATCGATTGACGTATATGGAAGTGATTCTTGAAGTAAAACTAAAAATTGTTTTTTTTTTTCTAAATTCATATCTCGCCAGATTACTTGCGCAAAAACAAGCAGATACTTTTCCAACGATGTGTGTGTGGGTGAAGTGAATGCAATGAAAGGCTTGAGTCATTTATTTTCCATTCAAAATTGAATTGTATCTTTGCATTTTATTTTTGATTATTATAAACTTGATTATTATACGAGCTAATGATTTTACAGTCAGGGAGGAATGATATTATGTGGGATGTGAGCGATGATCAGTCAATTGTACAATATTAATAGGACTTTTTGTATGCCGGAGGAGGAGGGGATGGATATGAAGGAGGCGATGCGTAGTTCGAGGATGGCGCTGGTGCTGGATAGGCTGGCTCACTTGGTGGCGGCGCTGAATAAGCCTTTGGTGGAGAATAAGCTGGGGCAGCTGGTGGTGAGTATGATGGAGGTGCTGCTGGGGGTGCGCTATATGCTAAAAAGAGAAAATAAAAACGAAAAAACACAGGATGTTAGATGGGCAATTCATTAAATAAGGTAAAAATTATTTCACAAAAAAAGAATCAAGTCAATTTAATCCAAGCTGTCTTTTGTGATAAAAATATTTGATTTTGTCGAATATTTTCTGTTTTTAAATGCAACCCGAGTTAAAAGAAACTACTCTTTCAAAAGGTCACTCCCTTTTGACTCCTCTTTGAAAAAAAAGTAGGTTGTTAACTTGAGTAGTTTAAAGCAACATTTTTCATCATATTACCTTTTGGCGGCGAGTACGCAGGTGCTATAAATAAAGAAACGAGTCGAGTGTCAATCCATGAACATTTATAAAAACAAATGAACAATTCAAACAATATCTAATTAAAAATGTCCAATTATGTACCTTTCGGTGCTGGTGGTGCAGAACAGCTAACGGTCTGAATAGATGGTTGACATCCAATGAGCAATTGTTGGCCACAGCTTACTTTTGGAGCTGGTACTTCATATGAGTACACCTTTGGTGGAGCTGCTGGTGCATATGCTTTTTTTATATAGGAAGAAGTAAAGATTTTTTTTATAGAAATTTATAAAGAAAATTTGATTATTTAATTGACTTGATGAACTTACATTTTTCGTGGTATGCTGGTTTTGGCGAATAGGCTGGTGCTAGTTGACGAAAACAATTAAAATTAGTTTGAATAGATAAACAAATAATGTTGAATTTGAAATATACCGTGGGCTTCATAAGCGGCAGGTGGAGTATATGCAGGTGCTTTTTTTATTAAAAGCGGTTGAACAAAACGAGAGAGACGAAAGAGAAAGATAATAAGTTAGAAAAAGTAAATCACAAATAAAACGAATGCTATCAAAACCAAGCGAAACATTGCAATCAGTCTTCTGACTGCATGGTATTTCGAAAATTTGACATTTTGCTTCTTCATTCGATTTTTAAGCAACACATATGTCTATTTACCTGATGGTGGATATGCTTGTCCATAAGAAGCAGATCTAACCTGTCGGTAGCCACGAGAATTATAACCAGAGCTATAAGAAGGTTTTGCGTATGCTTCAAAAATAACAAGAAAATAGTTAATTGAATTAGAAAATATTCGCAGTGATAAATTATCAATGATAATAGGAACTAATCACTCTTATATTCATGAAATAAAAAACTAGTCCATTTAAATCCAAAATGATTAAAAACTCAATGAAAACATTCAAATCAAAACAATTCCAAAAATCATTCACAGTAATTCATTCACACAGCGTCGAAAACACCGTTTTATATTTTCTCTTCACTTCGCGTGAGAGCACGATAACAATTACATGTCTACACTCGATCGCACGCGCGAACAACGTTATCGTTCAAAATACAACAACTGTGTAGCCAAAAGTGGCGGTGTGTGTAGTAGTTGATTTTGCCAAACGAAGTGTGAAAGCCTGTCAAGACATAAGATAATGTTTTTGGCGCTCGCTCTTAAAAAATCTGAATGGACTAATTTTTGATATCATGAATGTAAGAGTAATGGACATTTTGAAAGCTAAAAAATAAAAATACCTTTTGGAGCAGAGTAACTGGCAGCATGGTAGGCTGGCGGGGCTGCGTAGCTGGCGGCATGGTAGGCTGGTGCTATAAAAACGACAAAATATTCATTAAACACTTTTAGTGTAGCCAATAGGTAAATATTGGAGAATGGATTCGAGTTTTTCAATGTCGATGATGAGAATAAGCATGGAATATGTGCTTATTCTTACCTTTAGGTGCGCTGTATGAAGGTGGGGCACTATAAGCGGGGGCAGCTGGGGCGTAAGCTAGAAAAATAAAAAAATGTCAATTAATACTTTTAAATCAACCAACAGTTAAATTTTGGAGAATTAATTCCAAAATTGGGGCGTTCGCTTTGAAAAATCAAAAAAATGTTCATTTGATTCTTAAAGGCTAACGAGCAATTCATTTTTGATCAAATGACATGTATTTTTCAGTTTTTTAAGATGATGTATGTCATATGAGTTCAAAAATCTTACCTTTTGGTGCACTGTAAGCAGGTGGGGCACTATAAGCGGGGGCGGCTGGAGCGTAAGCTAGAAAAATAAGAAAAATGTCAATTAATACTTTTAAATCAACCAACAGTTAAATTTTGGAGAATTAAT